AATAAAAAAAAGTGTAAAAAAAAAAAAAAACCCAAAAAAAAAAAAAAAAAAAAAAAAAAAAAAAAAAGTATTTTAGTTTTTGGGGCAAAATGTGACCTGAACATGTGATTCACTTGCAAACTTATTTTTGATGGGTGCTGTGCATCAAAGTGATGCAGTGATCCATAAACTGTTAATGTCTTCCCATCGTCAAATAAATACAGTTTTAGTAAAGTGCTAGAGAGGTTATGACACTTCACCCCGTGACCTCTGCAATTCTAATATTTCCTAAGCATACACCGTGACAAGATGGTGAATTGATATGAAATCAGTCATTAATGCGATTCAGTTTTCAACCAACACTGGACTGTTTTACTTGCATGTAACATTAAATAATGAAACCGTGGAGAAGTGGGACAGAAAGAGAGCAAAAAAGATGAATATTTCAGTGAACAGGAGAGCAAACAGGCAAGAACGAAATCAAACTGTCAGAAGAAAAACCTGCAGGAGTAGAAGAACAGCTTAGAGCCTCGTAACTTTCGCTTCATTCGATCCAGCTGAGGTTCAAGCAGCGAGCGATGAAGGCGTACGTGTCGGCGACCTCCTGAATGACTTTACTGGTGGGCTTTCCTGCGCCGTGGCCCGACTTTGTGTCCACGTAGATAAAGAGAGGGTTTAACTGGCCGGGCCACTGACCGATCACACTCTGCAGTGTGGCCATATATTTTAGCGAGTGCAGCGGCACCACGCGGTCATCATGATCACCCGTTAACAACAATACGGCGGGATACTGAACCCCGTCAGCTTCTGGAACACGGATATTGTGAAGAGGAGAATACCTGCAGGGTCAGAACGTTCACAGCTCTTTAAATTCAAAACAAGAAATGTTAGTTATGCACTTATGTTTAGTAGTACTACTGAAAGATCATGATCCTAATGTCTTTATCCCCATACCAAAATCTCAGTTGGCCAGACAATGATTAATCTTTTCTGAATTATTAAAATATTATATATATATATATTATAAAAAATATATATTAAATTTAAGTTTTATTAAAGCCAGGCCAACATTCATTTAACATGTATATTTTTTATTTTAGCTTTAACTTAATTAAAACAATTTAACAGTTTTAGTTAACAACACTGTATATTAAAAATAATAAAATAATTTAATAAATAGTGATCATAAAAGGTTCACAATTGAAACGGCAGGGAGGCTTGGAGCAGGCTTGGAGTTTTTGAATCATTATGACTTAACAAGCGATAAGATAAAATGCATGCACAATAAAATAAAATGCTGAATAAAATAAAATAAAAAATACTATATTGAAAATAAGAAATATTTCAATGCAAAATATTCAGCTGGTGAATCTGCAGCATTTAAAGATTATGATTAAGGTATATAATCAGTGTTATTTTAGGTTTAGTTATTTTATTTAAATATTATTGTAGTATTTATTAATATTTTAAATTAGTTTAACATTAATTTTAGTTTACATTTTTGCAATTTTATGTGCTTTTGTAATTTTTATTATTTTTGAATTCTATTTAGCTTTAGTTTATTTTTATTTTAGTACTTTCTTTTCAACTTTCAGGAAGGTACAAAGGCCACATTTTTCATTTAAACTTTAAATTTTATTTCAACTTTATTTTAATTACTGAAAACAACTGAACAGTTTTAGTCAACAACAACAACAACAGTGTATATTATAAATAACGGAAACAAATAAATAAGATTAAGGTATACTAATAAATGCATTAAATATTTTATCTATTCCCATTACCATATTCTATAAAGTCAATAAGCCACTTGACGCTGTGCATTACAAGGAGTTTACCACAGTTAATGGGGTAAAATCACAGTAACAGAATGTCTAGAGTGGTGTGCTGCTTTAACTGAAATGCAGTTATGTCTCAGAAGTGTCACTGGGGCTGCTGCTCCTAAAAAAGTAGTAAATTAAATGTATCTGTGCAAGTAGAAGCAAACTTACTTGATTAACCAATCAAATTGTGCTTTGATTTCCGA